GCTCCAGGGGGGACAGGACGGCGGGCGCAGCGTCACCTGCATGGTGGGCGCGGGGAGCGGCGTGTGGGTGGCACTGCAGAGCAGCGCCCAGGTCCGGCTGTACCACCCCACCAGCTACGAGCAGTTGGCCGAAGCGGACATCACCCCCCCGGTGCACAAGATGCTCGCCGGTAAGTCCCCGGGTCACTGGCGTCACCCGTGGGTGCCCGTGGTGGGTGGGTGCCCATCATCTCCCTCGAAAACACAACGCTCAGGAACATCCAGCGATGGGAAATGGAATAATCTCCTGCATCCCGACCGGTTTCCGGGAAGGAAAACCTGACTTGTCACGCTTGTGGGGTTGGTCCTTGGTGTTAGGCGGTTGCGTAATCCCCTGGGGAAACAGGGTGGCCCCTGGATGGGTGGATAATCCCATGTGGAAACAGGGAAGCACCTTGGGCATCAACATAATCCTACAAGGTAATAGGGAATCGCCTGGATGGCTTCATAATCCCATGCAGGAATAAGGCAGCCCCTGGGAAGATGAATAATCTCACACAGGAATCAGGCATCCCCTGGATGGCTTCCCAATCCCATGCAGGAATAAAGCAGCCTCTGGGCGGCTGCATAATCCCACGCAGTAATAAAGGCAGCCCCTGGGTGGCTGCATAATCCCGTGCAGGAATAGGGCATCCCCTGGGCATGTGCATAATCCCGTGCAGAAATCAGGCATCCCCTGGTCAGATGCATAATCCCACGGGCTAATAGGGAATCCCCTGGATGGTGTCATAATGCCACAGAGGAATAAAGCAGCACCTGGGTGGCTGCATAATCCCACGCTAGAATATGCAGCCATATTCCATGTGGGAATATGTGGCCATAATCCATGTGGGATTATGCAGCTCCGGGGCAGCTGCATAATCCCACATGGAAATAGGGCAACCTCTGGGCATGTGTGTAATCCCATGTAGAAATAGGGCAGCCCTTGGGACAGCTGCATAATCCCAAGGGGTAATAAATAGGGCAGCCCCTGGGTGGCTTCATAATCCCATGTGGAAATAGGGAAACCCCATGACAGCTGCGTAATCCCCACAAAGTAACAGGGAATCCCGTGGCTGGCGTCGAAATCCCATGTGGGAGTAGGGCAGCCCCTGAGAAACTGCATTTTCCTGCGGGGAAATCAGGCAGCTCAATCCAGCAGCACCCAAGGGTGCCTTATCCTCATCTCTGTCGACCTGACCTTGTGTCATAACGGGACACCCATCCCTGGAAGTGTTCCAGGCCAGGCTGGATGAGGCTTTGGGCAACCTGGTGTAGTGGAAGGTGTCCCTGCCCATGGCAGAGGGGTTGGAACTGGATGATCTTGGAGGTCCCTTCCAACCCAACCCATTCCATGATTCCATACCCAACAGGCTCGGACGCCATTATCCGGCAGCACAAGGCAGCCTGCCTGCGGATCACGGCTCTCCTGGCCTGCAAGGACTTGCTGTGGATCGGGACCAGCGCCGGCGTGGGGCTGAACCCTCGCCGTCTCGGCCAAGGCGGCCCCGACGCTGGTGGGCTTGTCCCAAGGTCACACCGGCCACGTCCGTTTCCTCACCGCCATCGAGCTGCCCGACGGCTTCGACGTCCTCTTCCCGTTGCCGAGGGAGGCGGGTAGGTGGGATTATATGGGAGGGGGGGGCCAATCCCGACCCGCTTTGAGGGGGGTTGGATGTTTTTTATGGAGCTGGGAATGCTGGTCCTGGTGGTGGACCACCAAGAGTAGGCTTGGAACGTGGTGATCGGAGTCTCCGCTCCATCCTTGCCTCGTTAAAATTCGGGGAGGAAAATTGAAGGGAGGGGAAATTTGGTGCTAAATCGTCCCCCCAGGGCTTCTGGGGTCCCTTGAGTGACCCCAGATTTCCCTGGGAGACCCCAATTCCCATGGGGAAAAGTCATTGGAAAGCCAAGCGCTGAGTCTCAGCCAGCCCAGCTCTGAGGTCGGGGTGGGATGGGGAGAAGGTGGTGATGGTGGTGGTGGTAAATTGGGTGGGAGGGGCTAATATGGGGGGTAAGGGGGGCTAATGTCCGGTGTGAGGGGCTACTTGGGGGTGGGAGGAGTTTTGTGGGGCCACAGCGTGGCACGTGGGAAAGTGGTGGTGACGTTCAGGGGACGCTGGTGGGAGGATGCTGGGATAATGCTGGTGAGATGATATTGGTGGGGTGACGCTGGACACTGGGAGGACACTGGTGGGAGGATGATGCTGGGATGGTGCTGGTGGGAAGATGCTGGGATGGTGCTGGTGGGAAGATGCTGGGATGGTGCTGGTGGGAGGATGCGGGGGTGGTGCTGGTGAGATGATGCTGTTGGGATGATGCTGGTGCGATGATGCTGTTAGGATGATACTGGGTGGACACTAGGGTGATGCTGGTGGGATGATGATGGGTAAGTGCTGAGATGATGCTGGTGGGATGATGCTGAGTGAATGCCAGGATGATGCTGGTGGGATGGTGCTGGTGGGATGATGCTGTTGGGCTGGTGCTGGGAGGATGCTGGTGGAAGGATGATGCTGGGTAGTGCTGGTGGAAGGGTGCTGGTGGGATGATGCTGGTAGGATGATACCAGGTGGATGCTGGGATGGATGATGTTGGTGGTATGATGCTGGTGGGATGATAGGTGGAGGGGTGATGCTGGGATGGTGCTGGTGGGAGGATGCTGGGATGCTGCTGGTGGGAGGATGCTGGGATGGTGCTGGTGAGATGATGTTGGTGAGATGATGCTGGTGGGATGATGCTGGGAGGCTGCTGGGATTATGCTGGTAGGATGATGCTGGTGGAATGATGCTGGGGGGATGATGCTGGTGGG